TCTTCTAAGTCCACCATCTCTTCCTCACCCTCTCGCTACCTGACTTCTCAGTATCTGCAGACTACGAGAGAGAGAGAGATTTGTGACTTTGGGATTTGACGACATTTGGATCCAGACTCGACATTGGGATTCAGACATTTGACGAGGGATTATTTGGGACTGTACCGAAGACTTGGTGTTGACGACATTCCCATCTTCCCTTCTTCTTCGTCTAACCCCCCTCTTCTWCGTCTGTGTATAGTTGGGGACTGGCGCATTCTTCCTGTGTGAGCGCCAGGCCCCTTCACACCATGGAATGATGATGATGTATGTTTGGTCTGCATGGCAACATTGATTGTTCGGATCATTGGTATTTAAGCCTTCCGCTGTGTTATCCTGTACTTTGTGAGAGAGGTTGGTTCTTCTTCTGGTCTGTACCGTTACGGTATGCGACAGTTTGGTATCGGAGCGGACCTCTCAATCAGAGGATCCGCCCAGTCAAGTAGCCAGCTTGCTTGATCTACTGATTGTAGAATGATTGATTGAGTGATTGATCGATTGTTTATTGGTAAATCAGGTAGGACTTCGTCAAATCTCTGCAAAGTTTTTTTTTTTTTCTCGCAACAAATATCTGAAAATTTCTGATAATAGCATTTCGTTTTATCTGAAAATTTCTGATATTAGCATTTCGTTTTATCTGAAAATTTCTGATATTAGCATTTCGTTTTCACGCAATAAATATCTGAAAATTTCTGATAGTAGCATTTCGTTTCTCTGATATTAGCATCCGAAAATTTCTGATATTAGCATTTTCAGCCGAAATTTTCTGATGTCAGCATCTTGTTTTTCTGGGCATACAGGTTAACAAGGGAGGTGGTCATATTCTCGGAAACTGGATTTATTCTTTTCTGAAAATTGAACCTCCATTCTATTTCGGAAAATTTTGGTTCCGGAAAGCCGAAATTTTGCGAAGCCTATCAGCATTTTGTTTGCTAAGCATAATAGGAGGTTGTCATATTCTCGGAAACTGTATTTATTCTTTTCTGAAAATCGAATCTCTATCCTATGTTCGCGCAATTTTTTTCTAAAGACGGAATTTTGCGAAGCCTTGCCTAGATCTTACTCTTAGCACTCCTCCGTAAAATGCCTCTGATAGCAGAACGACAGATATACCAAAAAAAAAAAAAAAAAAAAAAAAAAAAGAGGGGGTGATCCTCTTCGTTTATTTATTTATTTATTTATTTTTATTTTTTTATTCTGTTGATTAGGACCGGGAGGAAAGTACAGTTTGGTTGGTTACCTTCCTGCGTTTTCCCTCCCACCCAACCCTGTTGCCTGCATTCCCGTTTTGGTAAGTGCCACATCAGCAGCAGTGCCACGTCAGCAGGGCCACGTCAGCAGCAGTGCCACATCAGCAGTGCCACGTAAGCAGTGCCACGTCAGCAGTGCCACAACAGCAGCAGGGCCACGTCAGCAGTACCTCATCAGCCGACACCGTACAGCTAACTGCAGCTTATGCTCCGATGCAGCCAACGCATCGCAGCACGTGAAGGGCAGGCAGCCGCAGAGGAACAGCAGCTACCCCTGGCCCACCCCTCTGCAATGGACGCCCAGGGCAAACCCACGGTGGACAATGCCGCATCCGGCAGTCCACGCGAGGCGTGCAGCTCGAACCCCCTTGTCCCACAGGTCCAGCAGGTGGGTTCCACTGCGTCACCTGTGGGAGCCCTTGATGCTGCGCCAGTCCGGCAGCAAGGAGAGACCATGATGACCTTCCTGGCCCGCCTGGGCACCTACATGCAACAAGTACGAGAAGAACAGCAACGCGAGGCGGCAGCCGAAACGGCAGGCCTCAATGCCATTGCACGCGACGCGGAGCAACGGCGCCGGCAGCTCGCTGAAGCAGCTGCCAACCATAACAAAGCTCGAAAAGATGCCGCATCTGTCCTCGTGCAGCAGGAAGCCGCTCATACCGCCGCACTCCAAGCATGGAATGTTGATCCGGCGGAGACGACGGAACCAACTGCGGAGGAGCATACCAAGTCAGCCCTCGCCAACATGCTGCACCAAGTCGTCCTCACTTGTAATTGGCAACAAGTGGAGCTGGCTCGGCAGACACATACCATTGCTGAGTATGAGGAGACTCTCAAGAGCCTCCATGCCCGCCTTGACGCGTTGGAGAAGGGGATGACGTGCCGCACAGGCACACAGCATCGTCAAGCATTGATCCATCGTTCCGCGAGCTGGAAGAACGAATGGATCGCCTAGTAGTGCTCGTCGGAAATTTGAAGAGTTTCCGACAACCGGCGACCATCAGCCAGCAAATAGCCTCCCTGCAAGCGGATCTGCGTCAGCTGCAGCAGCAACCAACTGGGACCTGCAACAGCCTGACGTCTAAACAATTCAAGATGCCGAAATTCAACATCGACAGATTTGATGACTACCACAAGGCGGACCCCATAAGTTGGTGGCAAGGGTTCACCAACGAGCTCTCCCTCCACTTGGTCCCGCCAGAGTCGAAGATCTCAACACTCTACCTCTGCAGCACCGGTGCCAGCCAAGTGTGGCTCAACCACCTGGCTCAAACCGAAGGCGTCGATATCGCTAAGCTTTACACCAAGATCACTTGGGAGGCCATGACCGAGAAGTGGCGGAAACGCTTCATCGTCGACGACGCTCAAGGCAAAGGCGTGAACCGGATCTTCAGCATGCACCAATGCAGCCAGCCAACACACGTATGGCTAACGGAATGGCAGAAACCCGTGACGATTCCGAATCTGGACATACCGTTCGTACATCTTCGTCGCGAATTCTTCTAGCAGTCGGTTGACGCGTTGAGCAGCTCTTGGGGAGCGCAGCTAGTACACGGACTTTGACGAGATCGTGGATAAGGCGTGCGAAGTCATCTAAACAAATAGGTGGGCTGCCAACGAGCGGCGAAGCCAACCAAATTTTGCGGAGAAGGGCAAAGGCCCACGGCCGCAGCAAGTCGCTGCTGTCCAATGCGATGGACAAGAGGACAAGCAGGCGCTGACTCACGAGTCTAGTGAAGGAGACGGAGTCAACGCCCTTCCGCCACGACTCACCAACAAGAAGAAAAAGGCGAAATCTGCATCAACAACGGAAGCCGGACAGATGAACGAGCCATGGAAGAAGTTCAGCCTCACGGAGGAGCAATACAAGCTCTGCCAGAGATGGAACTGTTGCTACTGGTGCAACAGCACCAAGCACACGACGTCGCAATGCCCTGACAAAGGCATAGAAGATGTCTGTCCACGACAAAGCTCAGGAAACTGAGCTCCGCGGGAAGTGAGGCGACTCCACTTCCTAGTCCACCGGACACGGTTGCCTTGCTAGCAACCTCCTCCACATCCGGGGAACATGCGTATGTCGCCAGTTTTCACGAAGGTTATGAAGACTATGCTGTCCAGCTGGTCCCGCTGTTGGACGAACCTCTCCACGTGCATGAGTCATATGCGTGTGCGACTTCATCACCATCGCCAAGTGAACCAGCATCCTCGCTGACACTATTCGGGGACTCGTCGATATGGTCTAGGCTTGAGGAGCTCGACCCATTGACGTCGGAGGACTTCCAATTGCTGCCTCTTCCCCCATATGGTTCCTTGCCGAAGCCGCATTGCAACGCGCTAATGGCGGAACTATGCACCTACTTGCACGATGCAGTACCAGCTCCGTTGATGGAAGACGGGGTAGCGGTTGTTGACCTTCGCGAGTACATTGCGAAGATTGACCGCGAGTACGCCACGCAACGGTACGACAACATCGACGCACCGTTACTCTACGTCCGCATTCAGATCGGGAAGGCGACGTGCAGCGCCTTGTTTGATTGTGGATCTACTCGCAACTACATCAGCCAAGACTTCACGACGCGTGCCGGCCTTGGGCCGCGCGTTCGAAGGAAATCGCAGCCCACGCAAGTCACATTGGCTGACGGTCACACGCACAATTCCATTGACCGGTGCGTTGACTCCGTCCCTGTGTACTTTGCCCCGCATGCACGCGAGGCCGTGCCCTTTGACATATTGGACACACAGTTCGACATGATTTTGGGCATGTCATGGCTGCGCAGCGATGACCACCCGGTGAACTTCTACCACCGCACCGTTCACGTTCATGACCGAAATGGGGTACTTGTGCCATGTACGGTCCCCCCACCTCACTCTTCGATTGGTTGTCATTTGGTCCCCGCGGCAAGCATTCGCAACTCCATCGCACGGAACGACGTGGAGGAAATGGGCATTTGTTTCTTGCACGCCCTCCCTCCTCCCGATGAGCCAGCGGCGGAACAGCCACCGGATCCACGCATTGTACAACTTATTGACTCCTATGGCGACGTCTTTGAAGTCCCCACTGGAATCGTACCGAATCGGCCAATTCGTCACGAGATCATCCTCGGAGATGGGGCCGTACCTCCGCGCGGATGTATTTACCGCATGAGCGAGAAGGAACTCGAAGTGCTTCGAACACAACTCAATGACCTCATTGACAAGGGCTCTGCTCGCCCTGCGGTGCACCCGTTCTCTTCGTTCGGAAGAAGAACAAGGAGCTGCGCTTATGCATTGACTATTGTAAGCTTAATGCTCAAATGCCGGCCCGCTCCCATGCATCGACGATCTTCTCGAACGCATGGGCAGCGCCAAGTATTTCTCCAAGTTGGACCTCAAGGCTGGTTACCACCAGCTCGAGATCCATCCAAGATATCGATACAAAACCGCATTCAAGACACGGTACGGGCACTTCGAGTGGGTCGTAATGCCATTCGGCCTCACGAATGCCCGACCACCTTCCAGGCGGCAATGACAACGGAGTTTCGCGACATCTTGGACCGGTTCGTGCTCATCTACCTCGATGACATCTTGGTATATAGCCGGAATTTGGACGAGCACATCGTGCATCTATGCGCTGTTCTGGACAGGCTACGTACGGCCAAGTACAAGGCCAACCGAGCCAAGTGCGAATTCGCGCAGCAAGAGCTCGAGTACTTGGGCCACTTTGTGACGCCGCAAGGTATCTGTCCGCTCGCGGACAAGATCAAGGCCATTCAAGATTGGCCGGAACCAACCAACACCACGGAAGTTCGATCTTTTATGGGATTGGCCGGGTACTACGAACGCTTGATCGGAGGATACGCATGGATCGTCGTGCCCTTGTCAAGATTGCAGTCTCCAAAGGTGCCCTTCCAGTTCACCGACGAAGTCCGCAGTTTGTTCCACAAATTGAAGACGACATTGCTCCTCGCTCCCGTCTTGAGTATCTACGATCCCACCTTGCCTACGAGAGTGACTACGGACGCTTTCGGCTATGGCATGGGTGCAGTTTTGGAACAGCACGACGGAGTAGACTGGCATCCGGTTGAGTACTTCAGCCAAAAGGTGCCTCCCATCAACTCGGTTGATGATGCGCGGAAGGAGTTGCTTGCGTTCGTTGGGGACACTTCCTCCTCGGGCGACGGACAATAACCCATTGACCTACTACAAGACGCAAGACACGGTGAGCAGCGCGGCTGCTCGATGGATGTACTTCATCGATTAGTTCGACTTCACACCGAAACACATTTCGGGCCTCTCCAACCGAGCCGCGGATGCTCTCTCACAAAGATCAGATCTTTGTGCATTGACTCACTACGCGTTCAATTTCGACGATGCCCTTCATCAGCATTTTGTGCGAGCATACAAGTCCGATCCGGAATACGCCACGCTCTACGAGCAACTATCCTCGGATCACCTGCCGGCCAGCCACTATCGCGTCGTCGATGGCTACTTGCTTCTTCACTCACAAGGCAAGGCCTTACTATGCGTCCCACACGACCGTCACTTACGGACTCGCCTCCTCGGTGAGTACCACGACTCGAGACTCGCCGGCCACTTCGGAGTCAACCGTGCGATCGCAAGACTTCGGCAACGATTCCGGTGGCCCGACCTCATTACCGACTTCACTCGGTATTGCGACTCTTGCGAAGTTTGCCAACGAAGCAAACCTCGCAATCGCAACCCTTAGTGCGAGTTATGCCCGTTGACTATTCGGCGGGAACCCGGCCTCTCCATTGCTATGGACGTCACCGGCCCGTTCCCCCGTGACCGCTTCGGGCACGACGGCATTCTCACGGTCGTTGAGCGATTGAGCAAGTACGCACGATTTCTTCCTTGCCAGTACTACGCCACGGCTCCTGAACTTGCACGCCTCTTACACACCGGCTGGATTTGCAGCCACGACGTTCCGGAAGACATGGTCAGCGACCGCGACACTCGTTTTATGTCGGCATTTTGGACCTCCCTCATGAAAGAGTCCGGCACCGAGATGAAACCAAGTTCGGCTCGGCATCCACAAACCGACGGGCAGACGGAGCGGGCATATCAAACCGCTCAAGTAATGCTTCGCACACTCATCCGTACGGATAGGAAGGATTGGGTGGACCGCCTCCTCAACATCGAATTCGCCTACAACACTTCGTTGCACCTGGCGATCGGCGTGACTCCATTCGAGTTGCACCACGGTGGCAGGAAAGGCCGTATCTTCGCTGATCTTCCATTTCCAAGGACTGCCGACATTGACACCGCCTGTTCTCCCGTCTCCGTTCGGAAGTATAGGGACTTGCTGGCTAAAGCCCGCGCCAACATGCAAAAGGCTCAAGTCCGCATGCAACAGCAAGCTAACAGGCATTGTGTGCCATGCCCTATCCACGCCGGCGACCTTGTTTGGGTCTCCACGGAGGAGTTTGCGCTTGAACAAGACGTATCCCGCAAGCTACTTACGAAGTGGTTTGGACCATGGCCCGTCACAGCAGCCGCGGGCGATGAGCCCGATGATCCCTCATTTGTGATAGAAATCCCGCCGCATCTCACGGTGCACCCGGTTTTCCACGCGTCCAAGCTGGCCACATATTCGCCAGCCAAGAGTGACGACTTCCCGGGCCGACGATTGCAGGACCCTCCTTCCATGGATGGTCATCAGGAAGTCGACCGCGTCATCACGCATCGCAAGCACGGCAACAAGCCAATGCAGTACAAGGTCACATTCAAGTGGTGTGACCGCGATGACACACGATGGATTTCCCGGGCAGCTTTGCAAGCCTCCGCACCAGATATCTACGCTGATTATGAGAAAAAACGGCTAGCCACGGAAGCTGCAGAGCCTCCCACCCGGACTTCAGTCCCTCCCTCCAACAGACAGCTTCGCCCTCGCAGGTAAGCTCGGTCTTTCAAGGAGAGGGGACTGTGGCATACTCTGTACCACACGGGCCCAGCAGAGCCTGACGAGGTAGACTTAAGGTCCGTAGGTGTAGGGCCTATTTCGTTTCAGCCTAAAAGCCTGAAAACGAGGGCCTACAGGCCCTGTGTCGTTTCAGCCTGTCAGCCTGAAAGCCTGAAAACAAGGGCCTACAGGCCCTGTGTCGTTTCAGCCTAAAACAGGGCCATCCAGGCCCTGAGTCTTTTCAGCCTGAAACAGAGGGCCATTTTCAGGCCCTCGTAAGATCGACCTGCCCTAAAACTTAGGCACCAGACCAGGGTTTTAGCACGGGCCATTTTGGGCCTGTTTTCAAGACAACCTTTGGTTGAACTTCAACGCCAGGGTCTGGCACGTTTTGGCATTGGCAAGAGCAGCCCCCTGGACGGGCCAGCAGTATATAAGACTGGCCCGCCGTGCAGGCTGCAGGCAGTCACGAGGCAGTTCATAGGAACTTCCCAGGCACTTCACGTGCAGGAGGCAGGAGGTAGTCTTCAGGATTCGGCAGCAGCACTCTGGAGGAGCGCTGCAGTAGTAGTAGTAGTGTTACCAGCAGTTCTTCAGCGCTGGGCGCTAGTAGGAGCTAGAGTAGCGTTGGAGAGAGAGAGAGAGAGAGAGAGAGAGAGAGAGAGAGAGAGAGAGAGAGAGA